ATATATCCTATAGAATATAGAATCTTAAAAATCACTTTAAATAATTCTTCTCTATATGGTTATGACAACAATTTGATACCATAATTAGGATTACTCGTTTCGGTATTCTTTAATTTTTAGGGATTACTTATTTTCCCTCTTTTGAACTTAATTTTGTTTTATAATTATGTTAACACATTTACATGGTTCCAAAGTAAGACGTGCAAAATAAGGAGCATTTGGAAAATTTCAGCTTTCATTCCTGTCCCCTCCTCTTCCCTGTAAGTAACCGTTTTTATTAGTTTTTGGTTTATCTTTCTGTTGTCTCAAATATAAGCAAACACACATACATCATTTATATTCTTTCTCCTTATAAAAGGTAGCATATATACTCTCCTGACTCGTGCTTTTTTTTTTAACTTCATATATACTAGAGATCTTTCTACATCTGTAAAAAGTTGTACACAGCTATATATATGCTACTTTTTGAATCTCAAAAATGTAAGGCAAGATAAATGTGTTCAACATCAAAGGTCTAATTTGTAAAACCTTGTTTATTCCCTCAGCTTAAATTGGTGGCTCCTACATGAAACAGGAAAGAAACAAAAAGTACATCAGTTTTTAAAAATGTAAAGAAAATGTCAGTCCTTCAGTCAGTGAATAACAAAAAGTTCTTATAGGCAACGATAAAACTCATAAGCTTTTAATATATGTATTTTTAACTTCATAATAAATTAGCTGTGATGCGGTAACTACTTACAATCTCTTTATACCAAGGTCAGGACACTACTAACTTAAGGAACAATTCATTAAAGACATTTGGAATTATTATGAATTACTAAAAATTATGTTTGGCCTTGTAAAAACAGACAAGAGTAAGTAGGAAAGGGGACAAATAATAGTATTTTTTAAAAGAGAAGACTTACTAATAAATATAGTCATCATGGTTACCTTTCATTTATGGAAATATAAATTCTACCATCTACTTTAATAATTTCAAATTTACATTCTCAAAGACTGGTAATGGAAGAAGAATCTGCACATAGATAAGAGCTCCTAGTCTTAAGATTTTCAAAAA